GAATTTGGCGAAATAAGATCGACTAGTAATCCTATACTCTTCATCCACATGTACAAAATGCATTTGTTCCGGTTAACCGCACTGCAGAGAAGCAATGGAATTGCGACTTCCTCTCAGTTGGGCTCATCAATGAATGGTGTTCATCAAAGCGAACGAAATCTGAACCACAGATTCCTCCATTGGGTGATGACATGTTATATCTGTGTGAACAAGCTCCGTCCTGTGTTTCACAGAACTACGCTGGGTTAGATATGCATTGAGTTCCAATATTTCAACTTGGTTAGATTTAAAGTTTCAGTTGAATTGCTGAGCTGAGTGGGTGATCTCTTCCGCTCAATTGGCCAAATCCTAATTGCATACAAAATAGAGCAGGTTTTGACTTCGAATGAAAAATGTTCATCCCAATTTTCTCAGTTGTTTATGTTTCCGCGATTCAGTGTAAAAAACAACCAATTCACTTGTACTGATCCGATAGAGCACAATAGCTTCCCTGCCGCCAACAGTATTAGCCTCAGATATTTATTCCCGACTATCTATGACCATTATCGGAGTGGGTGCGATGCGCTCGCAAGAGAGCATGGTACCTTGTCTAATATAGGGAAAATAATATTTGAGGGAGACTTAAACACAGTGTGTGCGATAGCACTCAGTGAAACGCGAATGTTTGAAAAATTACACTTTTCAGTCATGTTACTGATTTGAAATACAGAATGAACCATCTAGGAAATGCTCAAGAGAAAGACGAACAATCATTCTGAATTACTTCGAATCTAACAATGAGATAATCATAGTCACAACAGCATCCCTTTCAATCAGAATCCGGTGTATATGTCGGAATGTAACAAACAACAACAACAAAGGTTTCTTGTTTGGAACAAAATAGTGAGCTGGGCATTTTTGTCAATAACTCATTTCCATTCTTATAGTATAAGACGTAAACCTACCCGCAAGAAGGAATCCAAACTTTGAGATTGTTGTACAAACAATTCTTCAAATAGATCTCTGGCCCACTGTAAGGTGTGCTCGACCAAATAAGGAAAGTACTTCAACGTGCAGGCGGGGAATGCTTGCTGTGTGGTGTGCTGAACATTGTGGGAATAAAATGTATTTTATAGCAGATAAATAATAAACACTATCCCACGTCGAACAAAATAACAGACATTCTAAGTGCGCGTAAAACTGACAATCAAATTAGGAATGTTTTGTAACGATTTAGGCGAAATTGTTTGGTTGAAGTTACTAAGGATTTCTGCCTGTTGCTTTATGATCTAGTTGCATATATCCTTTTTTTAACTTGGAAAATATCTCCTTTAATCAAACGAATCGATTACGTTCTGTTCCTGTTTTGGTTCTACTGCCCGCTGATTCAGAAATGGGTAAGTTTCACTAAAGGTATAGCTGGTTGTGGTTGCCAGGCGACAGTGTGTCACCCTTCGTGCTTATCGCGTAGGGTTCAGCTTAGCTATCTCGCGCAAATCACACGGCCTCACCGTTGCACCCAATCAACGTCAGTCAATGAGCTCGGTAAGATGAAAGACTCAGGTCTACCTCATTGCAACACGGAAAGAGTTGGAAAAAATGTGTGATTCACGAACGAATAAGGCGCGATGGACAGAAGTGGATCCAACCGTAACGTTTTGTTCTCAACTCAGAATGATAGTTTTCCAATTCAAACTTGAAATGTCATGGGGTCTATGTTTTACCAAGGAAAATTTAATTTTGAGGCCATCTACTGATTACGTGATTGTTTGCAGCTGCATATTTTCGCGTATGAGGGGTTGGGTTTGTTGACGGAGGATCTAATGTGTCGCCTAACGAGTGGTACGGGCCCGTTTGGAGGAATAGTTACAGTGGGTGTGGAAGGAAGAACACGCTGTGGACACTTTAGCTTACTGGCGATCTGGTTCATGGGAATTTTTACCATCTGATCACAATCCTAAGGAATTAACCATTAATCTGATTGGGTTATATCATGGATGTTTTGAATGTTGTCATAATGGAAGTTTTTATTGCCATATTATCTGTCATCACGTACTAGTTGTTGTTGATATTTATAGCAGTTTTTGCCGAAATCTTTGCCCAACTGTTTAAAAGTCATTTCAATAATAAATTCAATATGGTTAATTTAAATTCAATAGTCTGCGACAAAATTATATAATACATTATTTGTTTGCTGATCAGCCTAATGTATTTTGTACCAATAGATCTGATTCTAATTAGTCGTAAAAAATGTTAAGAATAACAATTTCTGATCAAACATAAATTTTTGCAGTTTGAATCAACAAACTGAGACGAGAAAACATCACAGCAAACAAAATGAGATAGAGAATTTAAACAGAAATTAAATTTTGGATCCAAACTGTCAATACGGTGATGAGAGGTGACGGCAGATTGAGGGTGTAGATTTTTGTCGACTTAGCTTTTATTCATGTTTTCTGGGCCACCAATTTAATAATTCATTAAAATGATAACATAACTTCAGAGTAAATGAGACCTAGTTTCCTCACTTCACATGAGGGATCAATCAATGGGAGTTATTGAGAAATGCTGCGAATGAGAACTAGCAGTGCCAAAGTAAAAAAGATCAGAGCTGTGATGCAACTTTATTTAGAAGTAGAATAAAGAGAGCCGTCAACGGCTGTTCTCAAACCAGTACTGCGATCAGGTTAGCATATGGCATGACCTCAATCTAAAGTCTGAAACGAAAAACATTTTAATTTCTTTCATTGCAACAATTGCGAATAGCTCTGCTGACCATGTGTTCCATCCCAAGCTGTAAGGCATCCTCAGCGATGAACACCGTAACTCAATAAGTCTTAGGAGAGCACATTTTAAAAACCAAAAAATACTTACTTTGTCTCTTCAGATGCATGAAGGAAATATGAGTGTAACAACGGAGCGTATAGTCAAAATCGGTGAGTGGTACTGGAAAACTGAATAGTTTGTCTTTTGGTGTTAAGTCATCAACATACGTACAGGGGAATGTCATTTCTGGCTCACTGGGACGATGTGTTGTTGAAAGGAAAGCAAACAAGTACACTAGAGACAGCTGAGCAGCGTAAAATGTCACCGCATCGACCATGGCCTACATTCTTAATCGCATGTCACTGGATGAAGACAGACAGACAGAAGACCAGATCATCTGTGTGCTTAAATTGTGACCTTTCAAACAGGAACATCTATAAATACCGTCTATCCACCTGATGAAAACGTGAAGAACTGACATCCCATCTCCTTTAGTGTGATTTGAACCGATTAGTCACCTCTTTCCTGATGACGTGATAACCAAACCATTATCATAAGCTTGGTAAGATCTTCCTTGTTCAATATATTGGGACAAAATGAGGAAACTAGGCCAGATATAAACCGTGCAGCGTTGCAATTAAGTATTGTTTAGTTGTCTTGTCCCATTTGGAAGTATTCCATTGTATATTCATGAAACTTGCACTGACTAAACCACTCAAAACGTTCAGGCATAACGGTCCAAGGATCTATGCATATATCGACTCGTCTGGGTCATCGGCTTGACCCGTCTGNATCGCACAGTTTCTACACCCTCTCACTTCACCAGGTTCTCTTAAATGCACGCGTAGTCACACTTTCAGACCTACTCGTACAAACACACACAGAGAGATGAACATTCGAGCACACGACGTGAATGTGTTTGTGCGCTCGCCGGTTGAGCAAAACCACCTACCCCTATGGACCAAAGTCACTAACGTGTGGATCGATACAGCATTCCAAACTGTCCCTCATCCGGAGAGAGCACCTAAAAGCTAGACACCTTATTTTGATATAAAACCCTCTATATGTGAACGTTTGAATCGCATATACGTCCCGCTTTTGGAGGAAAATGGACCCTAATCGATGTCACTTGACAATTCAGAGGGAACTGTAGTAATACAAATGTTGAGCTGTTTGTCATCAGTATCACGAAGCTGAATAATTTGCCACGTAGTTGCTAAATACAGCGGGAAGGGTTGACTTGATGGTGAGGATACAGTTCCCGCATTTAACTTTTTCTATATTCTGTTCGTGTCATATGTGATGCCTATTTCCAAACAAGCTAGATGGGAAAAGCTACTGAAATGATACGTTGTACCTCTGAGATATCCGTTATGTGGTTATCTATGAATCCGGGTTTGAGCAACTTAACACGTCAATACCATAAGTAAATTAGCTTTAGGCATAGTTACTGTCACAAAAGTGCGAAGCCGGGATTACGCATATTAGCAACTGAAGTGATTTACGTTTGTGAATGAATGAGGTCAAGTTATTCGTTCGAGTCCATCGATTAAACACATCAATTCGGTAATTTAGTTTTCAAATACGTTACAAGTTATTCACTCAAAAAAACCTACACAGTGAAGATCGACGCGATCAGTTCTTTCAAGAACGAAACACTTACATAATCCCCATATCTTTCAGGCTGGTCTTCCAGAGGCTTATGCAAATAATTGAATTTTGGGGGTATTTTAGGGGTTCAGAGCTTACCCAGCAAACTACAAAGTACTTGAAAGTTAGACAAACTCACTGTAACTGATGAGTAGGATCTAGTCAAATGGGGCAAAACGACTAGTGTAGATCCCATTGCACCCATAGTACCGGAATCGATCCATGGTTTCCCGTGCTGTACACAACGATGATCTATGTACTGACGTGGGGGAATGCCATCGACCGCGCTCAGTACACCGTCAAGTGATTCAAAGAACTGCTCGTGATAGATGTTCTCAGTGTCCTCGCTCACTCGATTTTGATGTGAGTCGATGTTAATCTGTGAGGTGGTTGCAACGCCGGTACACATAAAGTAAACCACAATGTAGATGAAGTGAGGTGATAAAAAATAAATCAGCACGGACAAATCTGTAGATCAGTATTGATTTTAGAGGCGAAAACTATATTGTCAAAATCAACTACCATGAGTTCGAGCATTCAAATCTCATTGAATTGAGTACCATTGCAATATAATGAAATAATGGGGAAGATTTGTTCATTTAAATCAATTTACCTCGCAAACAAACTGACTCTTCTGTGAATTAATTTACCGCATTGGCAACTAAACACATAATCAGCTATAATGAATAAACAACCGCTTTAGGTTCGGTATCATTACTAAAAACATTTTACTGCGTTAATCTTTTAAGATTTGTAAATTCAGTGAAATAGCAACATAAGTATTTTCTTGCGAGTTCGCTACAGTTCACCCCGAAATAATTGCATCTTAGATTATAACGGTATACAACTAACCTCAACGCTTGTGAAAACTGTCACCGAAAGGAGTCTGTTTGGGAGGGGGGCGGGGTTGTATCTCTATAAATTCACATCTTTGGTTCTTTTGCTTATATCCTTCTTTCCATCCTTTCATTTAAACCTAGGCGATATTCCACATTTTCCCTCATTGTATAAAAAGCCGCCCTACCCGATGTTCGTCCCAAGTCCTGAAAAAGTGAATGCAAAGGAAACCAAATTTTCCTCACGTGGATTTTGGGTTTCCTGACTGATGTTTAGTTCTGTGAAATTGCATGCGTTTGATGCCCCCTAACCTATCTCAAATGGAACATGGATCAACAGGTTCAGGTGAAACAATGCACACCCAAACGTGCAAGGTAAACCTGACCTTGTGGTGGACTTTTGACCCTAGAGTTGACAGATAGTCTGCTGTATCTGCTTTCGTTTCTCTCTAGTCACAATAAATGACGGGCCATCCTCGAAGACAACATCTGAATAAACCTGAATTGTGACTGGGTCAAGACTCAGTGTGATCTGGTTGGTGAGAACCTGGTATTTCAAGCAAAGGGTCCTTAGTTCAGAGTCCGGATAGGAGGGTAAATATGCAATTCTGATGAGCTCTAGTGAGAGCGAAACTCGCGTCTATGGTTGTTCCCAAGTGTACGAGTGTACGGTTGACTGAATGAACCGAAGATTGTGTGTGAGGAAGGAGTTTGAATAACGGCAAGTTCAGATCAAGAACCTAGATATCCTGTTCAAAAAGCGGCATAACTGAATGCTATCAATGAATGAGTGACCTTGTCATTTCACTCTCGAAAACAAAATGGACAATTCGGTAGGATCATACTGTTTGACCAAATATAATGTTAAGTGTACATAGAATTGTGCTATTTACTATTCAGAGGAAGTCATTGGAGTCAACGTCAGGCAGTAACAACGCTTACCTCTGGATTCATTTTATTGATCGCCTTGGCAGCCACTACCGATTTCATGTGACCAATATCATTTGGTCGGAATAGAAACTGCCGATTTAAGTTAGATCGTTCGATAGAATCCATATCGGTGACAGTGATTTTGCCCAACTTGCTTGCTCCAACACCCATCATAGCGATATTTTTCAACAGCTCGCATCCAAGTGCTCCAGCACCCACCTAAGACAAAACAGGGAAGTGATGTCGCACAAGATAATGACTTACTATGAAGTATTTCAGTTCACTTAAACGGTTTTGAAACTGACGACCGAATATTGCAATCTGGCCATCGTATCGGGTGTTGCACGCCTTCGTCTCCTCTTCTCCGATAGCGTCCAATTCGTGTGCTGGAGGCAGACAATTTGAAGCGTCCAAATAGTACCACTGATTAAGCGGGGTAAACTTTCCGCTGCACATATTCATAACCTGTTGTGCCGCAAAAGCGCCAATCACAGCCTGAAAAAAGACAGTTTTAATCAGTGTAAAGCCATCGAGATGAATGGAATTGTCCTGGGAAATGATTGAGGGTGTAAAAGCACAATGAAGTGTAGGATTACTTATTACAGCACTATTATTATTTTTACCCTTGTGGGAGAAGGAACGCTAAGAATCAGGTCACTCTCGTTGGATTTGGATCGTTTTCCCTCCCCAGGTTGCGATGGACATCATTACGACTCATGCTTACAAAAAACCGAACCGAATTTCGTACTTCCCAGAACAGTTCCGGATTATTTTCGACTCTCAAGGATTTTTTTAAACAACTTAAATCTCTGAGGCTTATGACCGGCGGCAGTTCACCAAACGAGTCCGCCTCAATACTCAGTGACTACTTATTAGCCAGGAGTTCCAAGTTTCGGGGAATGCTTTCGAAAATGGGATCGATGAAAAAGCAACATATGATGAAGTTACAATTCTGTTTGGACTGCGCGTGACATATCCCATACCAAAACAGAATACTGGGAGAGTATTAGGTCGTTTGACTAGAGTGCCTCCACACACACAAACACACAGGGAATGTGAGACTGGAACAAACGGCCGATACGGAAATGAAAAAGTTAAACTTTTGCAAGAAAAAAACCAGAAGCTGTGCACTGCTTCCATCCGTTTGAAGACCAATATTTGAGTAAGAACAGTCGGGGACCTGTGATCTTCAACATCAGGAAACCGATGCCCATGGGCAGCACCAGGAGATATCTACAAAACTCAGCGTGAACTCTTTCAATGATGTAATAATTGATACCGCGCACTCAAAATACAAGATAAATTTCGTTGGGCGATGCATTCATCTTTGATTGAAATCGCCAAAATCGGGTGGTTCAAGATTTCGAGCGAGATTGAACGCAGACAGTCAAATGGTTGGTTTTACTAGCCCAGTCAATCGAAACTACAACAAGTTCGTGAAGGCATACATGTGAACGAATAAAACAACCGCTTATCGTATGAACATTCTCCGATCGTGATAGGACCATGTGGGCTGAACACCATTTGTTACAACTACTTGGGCTATAAACCACAACTCCAGTGCTGAGCCGAGGAATCTTTTATTGTGACACCAAAATGGGTAGATAGTAAATTGTATTGTATTGAGCCAGCCCTTGCATGGATTCACGAAAAATTCTGGATGAGTGGTCATCCGGTCCAACGTTCTGTGTGCATCTTTTGTTTTTTCTGAAACTTTCCATGTGATCAGGGGTGGGTGTCTCGAGTTGTTGCTAACCCCTTTTCGCTTACACTTCGCCAAATCATCTCATTCGATAAAGCGTCTCAAACAGCCTCTACTGACAAAGCCTTACTCACTGCCTTCCCGTCGAAGTTAGAGGACGAAAAGCCAACATCCGTGGCCATAGCCGGGTTAGCCGGGCTTTGGCTAACCGGTTGTAAATTCCCCAAGAAAATTCACCTGCTTCGACCTGAGCCACCCGGCCGTATCCTACCTAATAGCGAGTCAGGGACACTTTCTTTGTTATAAAGATTGCTGTGCCGTGACTTGTTTG